GAAGGCAGCGCCTTTTGCAGTTATCCTAAAGCATCATTTTCTCTCAGAAAGATTTTCCTTTATAACAGTTATTTTAACTCCCTTATCACATCTCTTATCATTTCTGCCCGAGTCTTAGCTTTTGATCTATTGAATATTTTTTGAAAAAAAAAGAATTGACCGAATATAATAGGTTTTTTTAATTCAATCAAATCTTTTTTTCTTGCTGTGATAACCTCAATTTGTCGTTTCCATTGCGTAATATACAGTATTCGCTCAATTCGTCGCCGTCTTTCCACGAGAAGGTAAATGAGTGGGGATAAAATAAGTTGCACAAATATAGCTCCAATCATAAATGAACAGAAAATCTACAAGAATGAATGAAACGTTGTTAAAAGATATGTAAAGATGTTTCCAATGTAATCACTTATATATTAAATGTGTTCGAAATTAAAAAGTTATTTGGGCAAAAGATTTGTTTGGTTTGTTTAATAGAATGTTTTGAGTTATTATTATTTTTTAAATTACCAATCTTAAATAACCTGTTGTTCATATTAGTTACTTGCGTTAGTCTTAATTATTTATAATCGTAGTTATTCAACAATGAAATAGAATGTTAATGAAAGCATTTACTTTCATATTTTTCGTAATTTCAGACAATGCCTTTTTCCGACAGCCAATAATTTGGTTTTTGTAAAATGGCTGATCTGTTTTATCTAAAAGTTTTCTAAATTAATAATGAAAAATTAGAGCAAATGACCGTCCTTCCATATGTTTTTACAGTGGAAATAAAAAATTAATGAAAAGGAATTATTGTCAGGTTTAATGATAGAAAAAGTTTTAAAAATCGATGTTTTTTTTTGCAATTCAATAAGTTTCATATTCAATGTTGTTAATCATTTTATAACCATTTCCGTGCAACAAAATGCAAAAGGTAACTTGAAGTTGATTCAGTATAAATTAGTATAAGTAATAAAAATGGGTAATTATAGAAAATAGGGTGAACTTTGCTTTAGATAGATTGAACATAAAAAATTTGTTGCTGAACAACATGATGGTGTAAATCGCCGTGGTACCCAACTATCTGACCACCATAAGTCTTCTTTCGTCATCTGAATTCATCATATTTTACTTGCTGGGCAAAAGATATAATACGACAATCATTTATTATGGATGAAATGAAGAATGCATAAGCGTATCTGATGCAATTTACGTACGTGTCGATCAAACAACATTGTGTAATAAATAGAAAAATTGGCATGAATGAAACCTTATGATGTTCAAATGTCCCAGAATATAGACTTAACCATTCATGTGATCCTTCAACTCCACAGCATTCTAATTGACGCTGAACCGAATCGACCTTCAATTTTAGAACTTTTCAAATATTTGATACAATTATGAAAAGTTAAAACTTTTCTTCACCATAGCACTTTGAATTGCTGCAATTTAAAAACAAAAATTTTCCATCATCCATAAAAATATTCTTTTAAATGATTTGAATGATTGAATGTTTTTAAAATTTATAAGCCGAACAAATGTGAGATATTCATCAAGCTTTTTGATGATTGGTTCGTTTTCAAGCAATTCACGCACACCGATGATATCGTTGATTAAACTTGAAGTATTAAAATCTTGCTCAGTCAAATTCCTATCCATTAAATCATCTATTAGCTCTGCTTTATTAAACTGAAATTATTAAAAATTATTCCAAAATTTGATATTTTCCATTTTATTCTATTCTTCATTTCTTATAAAATGCAACATTTCCATTTGAATGAATTAAATTTAAATCTGAAAAAGCAAAGCAGCAGTTACCATTGGTGCGGTTAAATTTGATGAATAATAATGAATATGGTGAAATTTGTCTAACCATATGCTACTGAAAGCTTTTGCAGATGCTTGTGATGTCGTTAAAGCAAGAATTATTCCTGAAAAAAAGTAATAATAATAACGACAATTCGATAATTTATGAAGTTATTAGTTGCAAGGAATTATTAATTTGAAAAGGAATCGAAATGATGAGTAGTAATGTATTATATTATTTAGTACTTACTACATGTACACGGTAATTTTACCTGATAGAGAAAATGGAAGAATGACAATCAATTGACATAATAACACTATTATCAAGAAAAATTTAATCGTTCCACAGCTGCCTTCCAATAACAAAAGGAATGTTATAATATCTGTTATTATCACAATACCTGTATTTAAGAAATTAATAAATAAACTCGTTGGAAGATTTATTCATAAAAATAATGATTTGGAATCATTTCTACTTCTAGTATCTTTAATTTGCATTGATTGAGGACAATTTATATTGCTATGAAAGCATCAACTAATGCTGATTCATTTTCCTGATTCCATCACCTAATTTGATTTGAATATCCCCTGGAAGCTGATTCTCTTGAAAGCGATAATCTCGCATATCCTTTTATTCATTTACTATTATTACCAAAACCCTTTCTCACATATTTGTTCTAATTTTACACTTGAATTTGATGTTCCTTTTCATTTTAATATTTTAAACAAATATACCTGAAAAGATAACGTATTCAACATCAAATTCGAACAAATTATTTCGCCCATATAATTTAATACTAAGTAAATAAGGCCGAATTAGTAGCATAAATGCTTCATAAAGCACTGAAAAGTTTTTTCAATATTCAGTGTTACAATAATAATTGTCGAACTGACGGATACAGAGCCCATTGAGCCCAGCAAGGAGTTCTTCCAACAAGGCCCATGATATTGGCAATTTAACCATTCATTCACATATAACTTAAACAATCAGTAATATCATGTCGAGGAAAAACAAAATCTAAAATTAGGCCTTAGATCGAATTATACTTCGTCCGTCGTATTTCCGTCAGGAAAGCAAATTACTTCAAAAAAATGAAAGGAATCGAAGAGTAAATTAGTAAATAATAGTAACTAATAAATGTTGTACTAGCAATGAAAC